TATCTATTTTATGAATCTTTAATAATAAATACTACAGTCTTAAGTTTTACAACGAAACAGAAACATGTTTTAAATTAGATGGAAAAACTTATGCAAGTGCATGTATATAAGAACTTAAATATGAATTTTAATAAAACAATTTGTTCTATGCTTGAAACTCAAATTTACATTGTATTTCTGTAATTCAATTTATTTTCTTTAATTTCTCTGCATCACAACTACTTAAATATTTGTTTTTCAACGTTGTTTCCGCCGTTTTTCTATAGAGTGTTTTAGCAGTCATAGACCTCATACAATAAGCTTGGGCATCTGTTAAGATAATCTCGTTGAAACATTAGTACATTAATTTTTCATTAAAAAATTATTCTTCATTGAAAATGTCAGTTTACAGGCCAAATTCTCGTCATTTGTGGGACGTTTTAATTTTCTGTTTCAATACGAGAAGAATTACGGCAAATTTTAATAATTAGAATAGAATAATTAGAATAATCTTAAATACTTATAATGAGACTTCTATTAGGGAAAGAATATATTGTGAGGGGTTTCAGTGTTTCAAGAACGGTTATTCTTATGTCGAAGAGCGGCATAGCGGTGAAAGAGTGACAGTTTTCAAAGAAGCAGAATTCGAGACGTTATTTAATGAAGACAAATGTCAACAATCACAGACGATTGTTAGCGATTATGATTAATGCGTTTGAGTCGAGCATTTAAAGGCAAACGGTTGAAATTCAACGAGAGACAAGATGACGTGATTTTGGAGCATGACGATTCTCGACCCCATGTTTCTAGTGTAGTCAAGACATACTTGGATACGTTAAAATGGAATGTCCTACCCCTCCCCGAGGGTAGGTATTAGGTCGAACTCCTAATAAAAAGAAGAAGAAGAAGAAGATCTACTACCCAACTATCATACTATCCAACTATCTGAAAAGTAGTTTTTATAACCCTTAATCATAAACCAGGAAAATTAGAATATAAACTTACGTCATATCGACCAATTTCTATCAAACGGTTTTATTTAAGCAGTTTGTAAAAATGCTAATTAAGCTAAGATGCCCCAGTATTCCCTAATAACCAGTTTGGATTTTAAAAACGAATCTCTTATTGAAAAATTGCATCCTAAACAGACCTAAATATCAATTTTAAATCTTTATTTTATTGCCTTTTTGTACTCCTAAATAATGGGTGTGTTTTGGTTGTCAAGCGACACTGCTTGAGATAATCGCCAGAAGTGTGGTAGTACTGAAGCTTCTGGAATATTCTAGACCTGGAAGGAAAAAAAGTCTAGAACTTCAATGATCGGGAAACTTCGAGAAATAATGCAAGGAAAGAACAAATGACAATAGAGAGGATATTGAGTATATATAGGCAACCGAAAGGGTCAGCGGACACGTTCGTTTGTTCGTTTTTTACTATTTTTTGATATTGTATCTACGGTGGGTGTGTGTATTTGTGGTTTATAATAAAGATATAATAAATACAAAAATATCCTCATTAATGTATTAACAATATGTAATTTTTATAATTATAACACGTCGTGCGCCGTGTGAATTCTTAAAGAAATTCCTTTTGAAGCCACGCGCATGATTTAGTATTGAAAACACAGTTGAATGTCAGTCACCGACGACTGACGCGGTCTAAATGGACCGATTGTCATCGGTCAGCGCTGATCGACACTGAAATTTTCATTTAGGCCGCGTCAGTCGTCGGTGACTGACACTCAACTGTTTTTTCAATACTAAATTACACGCGTGGCTTGAAGGAGATTTGTTCAAGAATTTATAGAGCGCTCAACGTGTAAATAATTTCAATGAACTTACAGACAATACTAATAGAACACAAATATACTTAGTACACGATGTCACTCAAGTGGTCGCTTTATCCACGCTATGTGTTGCTTAGAACTAAGTTACCTCTTTGCTTTCAGCCATGAAACTGTTTGATCAGTCTAAACGATTCTAGAAAAACTTATGTAGTAGGGATATGGTAGTAGGGTCTTATATTACATAATTTTTGAAAGAATGATGAAACAAGATAGAGTAGATTCTGAAAACCTTTCGTAACTTATAACATAGTCTGAATAATAGTCCGAAATTATGTTAATTTTTCTTAATTCCYTAAAAAAGATACACATCTTATATATTCCATTTTCGAAGATTTGTATTTCTATTTCTTGTTTCTATTTATCGCTTTTATATGCAATTATCTTTTTACCTTCAACATTAAATTTTCCCACTTTATTTTTCGATAAAATTCGATCTAAATCCATTTCTTGCCTTTGTAGAATCGTCTTAAGTTTAATAATAATATGTAGTACAAATGGGTAATTATATATAAACACAAATTAATTAAATATTATATATGACTGTAATAAAGCTTTGTCATTCGAATAATATTACGACAAGTAACAAGTATATATTTTCTTATATAAAGCATCATGTTATTCAATACCTAAAAAAGTATTTTTATTGTCAATGACATAATAACAACAATAGAAATCTATTTTATGAGAGTAGTTTTATCCAGTGTTGTGATACTGAGTGTCGTATATTTATACTTCTCAAAAAATCTCGATTAAATATAACTTTTGACTTTTACCAAGTAAGTGATCGTTTTGTTCTCAGTATATGTGTCTTTTGACGTCTGGCATAGAATTGATCTAACATTTCGTAAAACTCATTATTCTTCGTGGCTTAAATAGTAACGCCATACGTTAAACAACCGTAGATAAAAGTTTTTTTTCACCTTATTATATAGCATGTTAGAAACTCGTTTATACTAATAAATGAAGATAATTGAGTTCCTCATTGTGTAATGAATTATTGTGTATTGAAACATTGTGTAATGAACTATTGTGTAATGAACTGAATAAAAAATTTACATCTTTTTTACGATAGGAGAAAACAATATATTATAAAAAGTTATGTAGAAATATGTTTACGTTCAGAAAAAGTATTAAAGTAAGAGGGGGAAAACGAGATAAAAATGAATACAAGAAACGTAGTTCTATGGAATAGTACGCATTTTAATTCCCGCACATTAATTCATTCTACCCAAAATTTTATTAGCTTCATTTACATAAATTATACCACATATAGATGCGTAAACTTGAGGAGATATAATAATTAAGATAGCTATGATGAAGACGGATTAAAGAAAATAAAATGCATTGTAAAAATACAACGTTAATTTGAGTTACTAGCAAAGCACAAATTGTTTTATTAAAATTTATATTTAAGTTCTTATATACATGCACATGCATAAGTTTTTCCATCTAATTTAAAACATGTTTCTGTTTCGTTGTAAAACTTAAGACTGTAGTATTTATTATTAAAGATTCATAAAATAGATAAAAGTGCTTAATTAAAACTTTGATGAATAAAATTCATAAATATCGCTTTTTCTTCCGTGTCTAAGATCAACTTCATGTTTTTAAGCATACTCGAAAGTTACAAGTAGTTTAGAAATCAAAATCCATGTGATCATCAGAAAAATACCGGCAATAACAAGTTTAAATAATTGATGGATCCAGTAAAGCCTTAAAAATATATGAAATAAGTATAATAAATATAATTTAAAATAGATTGTGTGTGTGTGTGTGTGGTGTAAACTAAAGATTCATAATTAAAAGACAAGAAACAAGAAAAAATACCTTCGAATTTGTTGAAGAGCTTGTGGGAGAGTTTCAATGGGATCTTTCAAGGCATATAATCTTATACCTAAGAGAAAAGTTTTAAAATAAGTGTCCCAAACAACGTCTTTCACATCGCAGTAGAACAATTCTCGATCTTCGTATTCTAACTTTCTTAGTACTTCGATCCATCTCTCATTCGTAAATTTCCATTCAATTAAAGAAAAATAGCTTAGTGCGTCGAGCATTTTGTGCAATTTAACATACATTTTAAAAATCCTTAAAAGAAAATAAATATCTATCGTATTAACAATTTCTATTTTTCTCTAATTATTTTTTTCCATAAAAAAAGATAATGGAGTATTACCTTGGCTTTTTAGCCACACACAACAACATAGTATCCAGTAAAAATGCTGGTAGTAAATGTAGAAAATATACGTAGAAAAGATGGAGCTGCCGATATTTTGTAGGGCGAAAACTGCAGTACCAGACTGCATTTATAAGCGGTGTTAATAGTCCGTATTTAAACGTCATTTTTGTCATTTCCTCATAAGTTATAGAATTTTCATTAGAGACATAATTGTAAATAGGAATGTCATCTTTGGATCTAAAACATAATGTATTTAGAAAAGGATGATACAATTGATGTTTTTCTAAAATTTTCCAATAATTTTATCAAGGATATATTCTTTCCGAATCATTATAATTTACTTCCGATTGCTTGCGATGTCCCAAGCGCTAACGATTAGCGCATTAGTCGTCAAATCTCCAGGTACTATGCATACTTTTACGGATCCATCRCAATGATGAGATCTGATTAAACCTTTTGCAGCACCGGCGAAAATTCCCATTGGACCGTTTAAATTATCAACCCATCCTGGAACAGGTTCTCGATACGTCGATATCACTGCAAATATTGCTTTGATAACAAGCTACTATAATTAGTTGTTTTCTYTGAGAATTATGTCGATACATACCAATTCCTGGACGGAATATTCCAATCGGTATCAAGCCTGCCTGTTTCTTAATTATATTCTCAGCGACTGATTTAGTGTAGACGTAAGTATTTGGCCATGATCCAAGTAAGCTAAATTCGAATAAYCGTTTCATACATATATTTAACATACTTWTGAAAAGATATTGTAATAAAATACTCTGAAATTAGACGATAGAAAAAAAATATACTTTGGTGTAATATCATCCAGTAAYTTTTCATTCATATTGTCGACTAAATTGATCAACTTGCTGTCGTCCATCGGCGGATCATAAAATCTTTCCTCGATCATGTTGTGGATACATTGGGAATAGACCGAGGATACATGAGTGAAACTCTGGTCAATTTTAAAATAACAAATATTTAAGAAACTCGAATATCAAATTGCACGATTTTTAAAATTAATTATAAATACACATAATTAAAAAAAAACATTCGCACCTTTAAATTCGGCATTTGCTTTGAGAGGCTTATCATATCTTTCACACCTCGTACGTTAGTATATGTTGCAGATTTTATTTTCTCGTTAAATCTTACTGTCGCGGCAACATGAAAAACAATGGAAATCTCTTTTATAAGAATAGTTTCATCCAGAGTTGTGATACCGAGATTTGGCAAACCACAATCGCCCTGAATGCAGACTATTTTATCTCTGAATTTTGGTTGTTCTACTCTCACTTTGGAAAATACCTGGAACGTTGGCATCAAGACGGTTTTATATTTTTTCTATTCGACATATTTATATTATATAAAAACGTATTATTTAAATAAAGCTACATTTTGTAACTTTTTACATATTCAACGAGAAATATCAATAATGAAACATACTAATTTTATTTTCTTGATATTTACTTAATACTCTGAACAAGTACTATTTTGTGAATGAAAAGATTTTTTGAATGGATCATAAAATTAATAATTGATACTAATTTACCGTATCTTCGAACAGTTCGTTTTGGCGTTGAAATACATCTTTTCCTTTTTTTGGACGTATCAAAATATAAATGCACTTTATGGTGGGGCAACTTCTTAACAATTTCTCGATTAATAACTTTCCCATAAATCCTGTCCCACCGGTTATGAATATATTTTGACCATCATAAAATTCCTGAATGGGCGTAAGCTTCTTATCGCTCCTATTGGAAGATTCCATATTCTTAGATTATAATTTTGTCGATGGATGAACTCTTGAATAACTTCTCTCTATGACAAATTATTGTCTGTCTTTTTTTAAATCCTTTATCTTATATTTGGTTTTAAATTGTTACCTAAAACATAAATGTCAACGTTTTATTTCATTCTTTGTTATATTTGTTTATTATGGTCGTTTTGACCATATTATTGTTCACACGTTATTAATGCTTGCTATTACTAAAGGCTATTATACTTTTTCGATATTCTTTGGTGTAGAAGTCATTTTTCCGATTTTTATATATTTTCTTTTTTAGTCTTTGTTAATTTTTACAAAAGTGTTTGATAGAAAAGGTATTGTTTTTCTGTTAAGGCTTAAAATTCTTCATACCACCCACGTACAACGCTGTAAAATACATATATTTATAATTAGGAAACGGCGAATAACAGATGCACTTACAACTAGTTCCTGGGAACAAAATTAGAAAAAAAAAACAAGAACTTTATTTCTAATTTTTTGTATGAATACTCGTACATATGATTTCTATTAATCATATAATATGGTATAATTTAAATCACTTTTTTTAAATAGAATGCCGAATTTTTTTTTGCTGTATTCTTAGGAAGCATCAAATTCTATAAAGAAACTATAATATTATGTAGAGCCTAAAATTAAGATTTGAGAAAAATATATAATCTCATATATTAGACTGTTGTTTTGATACTGACTGGGCAATTGATATAGTAGATAGGAAATCTATGACAGAAATTTGTATAATAATGTATGGAAATACTATATTTTGAAAATCAAAAGAACAAGATATTGTAACTAAATCGTCGATAGAAGCAAAGTACGTGGCCCTATCTGTATGTGTGAATGAGGTCTAATTAATAACAAATCTGTTGATATAATTTGGAATTGAAATTAAAATTCCGATAAAAATCACATAAATTCGCTTAACATAAGATTTTCACAATAACATAATCGTAACCATAAGACAACCGTAAGAAATAAGACATAGACATAAGAAGACGTAAAACATAAGACATAAAAGGACGTAATACACAAGAATTAATAAGACATAAGAGGACTTCAGACGTAAGACATAATAAGACTACATTTTTCTTTTTTCTCCGTTCTTATATCCTATGCATCGGTAATACCCCCGATAGAAGGGAAAAAAAGACGCAGGGCGGTCCTAGTCCTTTTTTGATCCATCATTGGTCATCAATCGGTCTTTCTTCTAAGCATAAGTAACGCCTTAAAGTGGGAGTACGTTCAAAGGTCCTCTGAATCTTCCAATCTAGATCTAGATCAATATCTACCACGTGATATTTACTTAAAAAAAAATACCAGATCCTTCCTCTTAAAAGGACCTTATATTATCCCTTAGATTATTTGTCACCATAACACTATAAATCTTCGACTATCTCCTATAAACTAAGATTAGAGTATCGCATACCTACCCCAAACTAATAATATTTCTTAAGATATTTCTCATAATCCTAAACTAATAATATTTCCGAAAATATTCCTTATACAAAGTTCTATATCGTCATGATCATATGCGAATAGAATGTAGCCAACGTTACAAGGAATAAGCAAGACATGAATCTGTTAAAAGGTAAAAATAATAATCTTGCTTCCGATAGAAACAAATATTATATTTCTCTTGAAAAATATTTATTCAAAGCATTAGAAAACTTATTCTCCCCGTAAAGATGATGAATCATTTTACTGGAAAAAAGAGCGCATTATTTTCAACAACGATAAGAAGAAGACGACACTAAAATCATGAAATTTTCCTTGTTTTACTACCAATAAAAAGACATCATCTCCGATTTCTAAATTTTGTTCTATTACCTTTGTTGAGGTACAGGTGCTTTGCTAGGTACTATGTTATTTATTTATCGCAAAAATGCCGATGTATACGTGGTATCGATTGCTGTTGCTTGTCGTTCGTTGTTGAATCGTGATGTGTTGAACGATGCTCCGACGATGCGCTGCTTGATGATTTCGTCGCTAGTAGATTCGTGATTTTTGACTACGATGATCGCGTGATCTTTCTCGTTGTTCTGTTGCGTCGTTTGGAGCTGATGCAAGTTCGAAAAATCGTTCTTCGTGATGTTTACTGAGTCGATTGAGATTGTATTGTAGAATGTTCTGATAAATTTGAATGTTTCAACTGTGTTCTAGGATAACCGTTTGGCTACGTTATCTTAACATTAGAGTTCACATAGAAGTCGAAAAACATTTCTTATTTAAATCGCTTACCTACATTTGCTTATACTTAAATGAAAATATCTAACGAATGTTTGTACACCTTGGGAAGTACTAACATATTTACCTAATTTATACTTAAAACGTATTAGATATAGTTATAAATTGTAAGCATTCGAAAAAGACTCGATAGTGTGATCAAACAGAAAATAAATATATTTTATTACTTGGTTGCCGATAGATTCTATGATTATTGAATCTTGATTATTTTATCTGCTACATTTCTCTACCGACTTTTCTCTACCGACTTTTCTCAACAACCTTTTTGTCGTAATAATTTTTACTTTTAATTATAGCTTTTTCTAGATTTTGTCGTTCGAGAGTTTGTAGTCGGTTTATTTCATCGTATTAATCGTTTAAGTATTGAGCATAAGTAACATCTACATCTTTCTCTATAGGAGGGGAAGAAGACGGTAGGCGGGCAAGTTTTGCAAATACTAATTCGTACGGTGTGTGCTTTGTTCTCTCGTGTACACTGATGTTATAAGAGAACATTGCCGGGTTCAGCCATGCGTCCCAATCATTACTCTTACTATTTATGTACGTGTTACTTGTACGTGTTATTGTACGTGTAAAACTTGATGGGATCTTTCGAGCGACCCGTTAGATTAAGGGTGATATATGGTCCTAGTAAATTGTTAAACATTACATTTTTTTTTGCTATTCCTTTAAATACATTTGATATGAAGTTTCTTCCTTGATCGGTAATAATAGCAGGGGGGCCTCAAAAAAAAGACAGATAAATCCTTTATAAAAAGCTTTCGCGGTCGCGGCACCGATAATTTTGTTAAAAAGTCTTCAATGGTCAATATATACTGATTTCGTTTACGAGTCATGGGAGAGGTCCCAAGATATTCAAAGCTACTTTATCAAATACTCGTCCGGGAGTATCGGTGAAAATCATCGGTCTTTTTGGCTTCACTCGCGCGAGTTATTTTCTTCATTTATTACGTTTTACATGGTTCAGGGAAGGAAAGGGAAGGATCGAGAGACTCACACGTGCCAGGTCCTTCGTCGGACGTCTTGTTCTTATTAGTTGGTTTTTCCGGGAGAGGGGATAATAGGCATTGTTTCTTTTCGAGGCGGGAGGATGATGGAACGTCGAACCTCGAACGAGCATTGCGACACCATATAAAGATTTAAGGCCCCGTTTATTCCATGAAACATTGCCCGATACTTTTAATACTTTGAGTGCCACTTATTCAGCTACTTACGAAGTATCTTTGTAGATATTTTTTTGGAAAGATATTAATATATAATAAAACTATAAAAATTTTTATAAAAATAATTCTAAAATGATTTATTAAGAAAATTATATAGAAACTTATTAGAATGAAAAACTTCAAAACATTTTGTATATAGCTGAGGCAGGTCAGGACAATTTGGACAAAAAGTTTTTGGTTTCTTGAGATTCTTTCCTGCCTTTGATCGGTTTGTTTGACTCTTTTATTTGCACAACATAATTTGCATGGGCGTCTCATGCTTCTTCCAGAATCATTTTTTCAAACGGCTATATTATGCTGACTCCGTTGAAGATAAGGTTTTGTTGTATTTTCAGACAACCCTAATAATTTTCCAGCTAATAATTCTCTAAATCTTCTTATATTTAAATTCTTCTTTGTTGCAATTTTGTATATTGTCAAAGCGTTTACAACTGAAATTCCCAGTAGGAGTTGAATGCTAAGTTTTTAGTATTATTTGATTTCTTTTCTAATTGTTGTTGCATAAGAAGCTATTCGGTCTGAATAATTTATACTAAACTTTTTTTGATTATATTCAATAACAGCTAGTGGTTCCAGTTTTGCGGTTGTCTGTTGACTTGTAGAAGCAGCATGAATGCTATAAATGTTTTTAGTACTTGGTACAATGATGGGAGCGTATTTTGTGGATAAAATTTTCACATGATGTGTATCTCTCCATTGGAGTACAACAATACCGTTACCACCCTCTTTGGATACAGTCTCTCTTTTTTTTAGTTTGCAATTGAAAATAGCTTTTGGGATAAATATTTTGCTTAAGTGTCTCAACTACATGAGTGTTGCGGTTTAGGCATGATATTTCTAATTCATAGCTTGTATAAAAATTATAAACAAGTAATGTTCGTTCTTGATCAAAAAGTTTCTTTGCAAGCTGTAGGCATACATTGTGTGCCAATTCAGTTTCTTTAATACCTTCAGCTGACTTCCAGAGTATATTTTCCCTGCCCATGTATATCCCTCGCTTGAGCACAATTTGAATAATTTAATCCCGTATGTTGCGACCGACGCCTTCATCGGTACTCCAGTGGTTTTTTATCGTGAACGAAAATGCCGTCACGTGTGAATATCGAGAGTTGTATATTTGGTGGAAATGAGGATAGAAGAATAATTATAAATCAGGCTAATATTTTTGAGCCCAATCAGTACTAAATAGTACGCTCTATTTGGCTCGTCAGGGAGAAGTCTTGCGACATAAAAATCCTGGTTGAATTGTACACGATGAATCCGTACAAAATGCGATCAATGTTATACAGCTAGCTTGCCTATCGGCAGCTATCGAGTGATGAGATGCGTATACAAAAATGCAGAATAAATCCTTACCAAGTGTAGGACTGCCTTTGTCCTTTGTCGCTGGCCGAACTTAGATGATATAACGTTGCGCAAGAGAATAGTTCTCTTCGAAGTAGTTCCTCGCAGGTCTCGTGGTAGAATCTCTTTCTTTGATGCAATCACTCGCAAGTCTCGTAATAGAATCAGTCTTCG